AAAAAAGTTTTTTTTTTTTCGGCAAAATCAAACACCTTTATATTACTACAAATCAGGTGCATACAAAAAAATAAATAAATAAAATAAAATGGATAGAGAAAAGAAAGAAAAGAAAAAAGGAGAATACCTCCATACAGGGGGGCTAGAATTTCTCTTGCAAAACATATTCTATAATAATTGAAAACAAATTTACAGCATTTTTACCTTTCATCACCTTTAGGGCTTTTGTATATAGAATAAACTCATTATGAAATGCACAAAATGATGGTTTTACTTTCAAGTACTTAGACTTATGTATATAAAATTTACCCAACATAAGGACGTTATTTACCAAAAGATCATCTTTACTGTTACTCATTACAAGTCCAAAGCTAATGTCCTTTAAGGTGAAGTTATCAAGGTTCCGTACCTTTGAATAAAGCCAGTCATGGATGTCCAACCATAATGCCTCTACATACATACAATGAAAAAACAAATGATCTGTAGTTTCAATATCATCACAAAATATACATTTGTTAGTATCAAATCCAAATCTAAGTCTTAAGCACTCATTGGATGGATATATTCCATTTAAAATTTTAAAATGAATTTCTTTAATTTTGGGAGATAAGGGAAATTTTAAATATTTAGTTCTAAGACTATGAATGGTATCCTTTTGAAAATAACAATAAATTGAATTTCTATAAACTAAGCTAGGATAGGAGATATCGTTAAATATATTCCTAATATTTTTGTTTGATAATTTACCTTCTCTGAATTTACAGCCTTCAATTACCAGTGAAGGTAAACTTAAGGTCATGGAATTATAATAAAGGAGAGTCTCTTTAATCAGATTTATAATGGAATTAGGGATAGCTTTAACAATTGATCCAAATTTAGCCCGATTACAATTAAAATATTTAATACAGAAACTCTCATATGATATAACACCACTCTTGTCCATTAAATGGAACACTGACCAAATGCCTTTCTCCATCCATTCCTTATCATACAATGATTTGTTTTTAAATGTAATGTATCTATTATTCCAAAGTGGTGTATTGTGTGGTGTGAAATTATGGTTGTATAAAATCTTCCAATATAACAAGACTTGCTGGTGAAACTGAGATAATTTAATTGGGAGACGTTGGACATTAAAATCACATCTTAATAGAAACTCTATTCCTCCTATTTTTTTAAANTGAGCTAAAATGTTTTTACTCTTTCATAGGAAAATAAAACCTTAGCTATCTTTTGTTTTGTAATCATATGTTTATGATTATTCCTTTTCAAGATTATCTATTATCTAGTGTGATAATCAGTTAAAAGTTTACATCCGATGTTTCACCACATTTTCGTGGTGGTTCCCCCACAGTTTACTTTGGTTTTTAGATGTATTACAAATTGCAAGCTTTGCATCATCTTCACTCAGTGAAGAACTTCCAGTCTAATGAGCGTACACGCAGCTGTGAGGCTAATGTTTGCACCGCTCTGCGTTGACGTGTGGTGCATGCGTAAAACTGGCTGGTTCGGTATCAGAAATACATGAGACTGATCCATCAGTCTACATTGGCTGATTCTAGTCTCTGAGCAATCTATCGGTGTACCCATCCATCCATCCATCCCTCAATTTTCCATAACCATTTGTCTTGTATAGTGTGGTGAGCCCTGGATGGCCATTCCATCACAAGGCATACACACCACAAACACACAATCGCAAACCTAAATAATGTGCCAAGAGCCACACCTCTCATCAAAGTCAAAATAGGAGCCCCCAGATAATCACTCATTTGAGCCTTAATGCTTGCTGATTCAATTTTTAAAATATGCATTAGAAAAAATTAAAAAATATAAAAGCAAAAAAGTAGTTGGAACAGAGTCCTGGTCAGAAAAGAAATGGTAATTCCCATCGAAACAGTTGTGTATTAAAAAAAAGTCCTGGTAAAATTTGTATTACAATTTATTTAAATTAATAGCATGTTTACAATGTTATATTATTGTTAAAAGAAAAAAATTAAAACAATCCATAATATACCGTAAACCAAAATATTTTAAACACTGATATTATTGTGTAACGGATAAAAATGGGTCTAAATCTTTATATCACCAACTGGCAGACTCCACGATTGAACCTGGACACATTGAAACACTGGTTTCAAGATTTAAGGGGGAAACAGACTGGTTCAGTTGCAGTCCAGCCAGATTAGTATTGCAGTAAAAAAATCATTTCATTGTTTTCATTGTTTCACTTTGAATCTGCTGGAGTTTTACAGACTGTCCTTGGGTGTATCAATTAGGAAATGAAGCAGCAGAAACACATGGCTATTTATTCCCTGTTAAATTATTCACCCTGCAATGGACTGGCATCCCATTAGATGTCTTGCAGTATATAACTGCACATTTATTCAGCCTGCTGCTCTATTGTTGTAATGTAGCTTAAGAGGGAGCTTTCTGGGAAATTCATCCAACACGTAACACCAGTCACACACCCTTTCCATTCTGTTTTTATAGTGCTTAGTAAATATGAGTAGCTTTAGGAAAGTCTTTTGAGAGCAGTGGTGACTGGGATGGTATGCAGTTTGTTTATACACTAGAAACACTTCCAGTATTAGACATTGCAGAACTTTATTTAACTGTTGCTCCAGTTGCTTATTTAATCATCCAATGTATGATTTTTGTAATATTCTTTGATTATAAACAATACCGCCAATATTTGTGTAGTAATTTTTAAAGCGCAATCGCAATAACAAAAATGCTAGGTGTTTCTACAATTTTGGCCAGTAGTATGCAGTATATAACAAAAATCAATATGTATTTAATGTTGTCACTTGTGATGCTTTGAAACAGTTTTGCTGGTGGCTGATGTGTTTGCGTGTTTGTCTGCATGCGGCTGGGCCCCTGTTTCCTAGCAGGTGGTGGACAGCCTGGTCCAGAAGCAGCGGCGTGAGCTGCAGCTGCTCGTCGCCGAACTGAAGGACCGCGACCGCGAGCTGAACGACATGGTTTCGGCCCACCAGAAGCAGCTGCAGGCCTGGGAGGTAGATCGGCAGAGGGTGCTGACCCTCGAGCTGAAGTGCTCCAGCCTGGAAGGTGAGGGGCTGCCATTGTGTGGGTTCTAGTCCCCGTGTTTATGCTGTGGTTTCACTAGTGTCAGTTTGTAGTCCCTCTAGTAATCAGTGGCTTCAGCAGAAAATTGAGGTGGGCATCAGGAGCCAGCTATGTTTTTGGTGGTGCTCGCACCGCACCGTGTCTGTTCTGTGGTTCTACTTAGAAAAAAAGAATAATGCATATTTTGTTTTTATTATTTTGATGTGGGGTGCAACAGGGGTAGCCATGTATTAACTTTGGGGGGCATGGTTATCCCTTAGATCCTCCCCTGTTAGTAATAATGAGCTTACTAAAAATTCAGAGAGCTCAGTTATATGCTCAGTATAAATGTTGTTATAGTAAAATAATAGGTGGCTCAGTGGTTAGCACTGCAGCCTCACATCTCTGTAGTGTGTTATTTTTATCTGGATGTGCCCTGTGATGGACTGGCATCTGGGGTGTCCTCTGCCTTGTGCCCTGTGATGGACTGACGTCCGGAGTGTCCTCTGCCCTGTGCCCTGTGCTTCCTGAGATAACTTCCAGGGGAATTTTGACCCTGTGTGACATGAACAGTTAGTAACAGTATTAGTAACATAAAAAACAAATACTGAAATAATGTGAATTCTATTAAAACTGGTTGTTATTATAGTTAATATTTTCTCTAATTCAGCATTCTCAAAGATGAAGTGTTTGTTCACAGTGAGAGCAGAGTACTTCATGTGTTCGACGTGTTGGTTCATGCTCCATGGCCCAGGCCAGCTGCGGAAATGCAACGTGGTCTTCCAGGCCCTCACCAAGCGGGTGCGCATTGCGGAGGCACGCCAGCAGGATGGCCAACGGGCACTGGAGGGCAGCCGACATGATCTCTGCCAGCTTGGGCAGCAGCAGCAACACTTAGCCAGCCAGTGCGAGGAGCTGCAGGTACGGCGACGTGGCACTTGAAATTGCTTATGTGTACAGTGTAGCGGCGCCTATGCCAGGCTGTCCGGGTAGAGGTAGGGTTAGGGGTGACCCACTGCTCTGTGACTGACAGGAGAAGAACCAGACTCTGAACTCCACAGTGCTCAAGCTCTCCTCCCAAGTGGGTCAGCTTCAGGCTCGAGAAGAGGAGCTGAAGGCCATGCTGAAGCTGAAGGTGAGGCTGGGATACTGTGGACAATAGGTTGCAGTGAACACCTATTTATTGCCATCATTGCTTTTTATGTCCTATGTCATCCTCCTTCTCTGACCTCATTATCTGAAGGCTTCTTCTTACTTTACGTCACTGCAACCCTGTATGAATTTTTATGAAAGATGGATGAAAGCATGCAATTATCTTACGGTCCAATTTATTTTTACAGTTAACTCTTTAAAGGCTCAAATTAGACTTTCGTTTGTGACTGGACCTTTTGTAGTCATATTACCTGTCCTGTAATGTATTCTGCCCTGTTTCTGGGCTGTAATCCCAGCGTTACAGTAGTGCGGGGTGCAAGTCTTCTGCAATGCAATGCTTTACAGCATTCTCCTGTACTTCAACCTATTGGCCACAAGATGTCAGTAATTAGCTCTTTACTACATTAATTTGTCCTGTTGCCCTGGTTTAAGTTTCAATTACTGGAAATTATATAGCACATAAAAGGTTTAGAGTTTGGCAGAATTTAGTCATTTGTTCAGTCTCTTTTGGTAAAAGCTGAATCTGTGTCTTCACTAACAATATACTTACATATGTTATGGTAATTCACAAACACTAGTGTACCTCAGGTTTTTATGTGTGTGTGTGTGTGTGTGTGTGTATATATATGTCATAATTTCACTGTTTAGTTGGACTTGTGACAGTTACTTTCCAGGTATTGCTGTGCCATTGGCAGCCATTAGAAAGGATGTGTCATCGCTGCATGGCTGTTACAGGCTCATCAGTGTCACCTGACCCATGACATCACACACCTGATATATATCTATGGGGCTACCTCATTTCGCCATGATGTTATTTTCATTGGTGTTGTCCATATCACAATTTTCAGTATGGACCTGGACATTGAAAACTGCGTCTTCCCAATGGGAAAGGTGACACTTGGGCTTCAGCCTTGAGGCAGCTTATCTGTTCAAATTGTCAGTATCAGCTTACAGATCAATGAATTATCAATGCATCACCTCAGTCTAGCTTAGTTCTATGATGAGATCTTCTTATTGGTGTCATTTGGCATGAGAATTTCATTTCTTTTAAAATTTTAACTTTTATGCTGTATTTGACTAGGACACAGACATGACCGGGGCGACCAGCCGCATCCTGGAGCTCACAGGCGGCTTCCGCAAGCTGGAGGCCGCTCTGGAGGATTGCCGCTCACGGGAGGCCAAGGCGCTGATGGAGGCAGAGAAACAGAGATGTGGTCACAGGGAGGCCAAAAACGAGTGCCTCCGGCTCCGGGGTAGGCAGAAGCTCTGGCTCCGAGGAGGGAAGTGCCGCGTGGCTGTCACAAGTGAAGGTCCCCCGTATGTCTGCGTTTGCGTGGAAACAGCCACGTCATTCACCAGCCTTCCTCGCAGACTTGACAGGGATGCTAGGAGCAGGGTTTAATTTTTTTATTTTCCCTCTCAGGGCCTGTAATTTTCCCTCCCCCACTGCTTCTGCTCATGCAGATAATTGAAATGCACCCCCCCTCCCCTCCATTTCTGCAAAACAGGTCATGCTTGTGTAACAACCCCGAGAGCTTAAACCCAGAAGCTGGCTGGTGTGCTGACACTTGCACGAGCACAGCAGTCAGTCATTCAGACGTGGAAATTTTAAAAATAAGTCGTTGTCATCCCTGGGGCTGGTAACCTATATACATGGCTTGAATATTTCAAAAAAGATCCACTGCTCTTTATCCCTGTAGGCTGAAAGAGGGTTGAAAATGTGCAATTAGTAACGTTAAGAACTTTCTGGCTACGTCTGTGTGAGGCTCTCTGGTGTGCCTGTGAATTTATTTGCCCTTGTACCCAGTGAGTTCCCAGGACTCTGTCATTGTGAAATAAGCACTGACACACGAATGAATGGAACCCACACTCAACCAGAACTTTGTGGTTTGATGCTACTTCTGTGTCAGTTGGGGGCCTGTGTTTACAGAGAACACCTTTTGCTCACGTCGGGTCTCATGTTGCAGAAGAGCTGCGGGAGAAGATCTCAGAGGGAGACACGCAGGGAGAAGAGCTGTCCCATCTCAGACGAGATAGCGAGCTGCTGAGGAGCCAGCTGTGTCTGCTAGGTACGAGACCTGAATACGGAAATGTGGGACTGTCCAAACCTAGTTTATTGGTGGCAGTGGTGGCTTAATGGTTAGGGAAGCACACTTGTAATTGAAAGACCAGCAAGGCACCACTGAGGTACCCTGAATAAGCACTGCTCCCTGGGCGCTGAATTAGCTGCCCCCTGCTATGTCACGGCATCACATATGGGTTAAATGCAGAGGACACATTCTGTTGTTGTGCGCTGTATGCTGTGGTGTGTCAACAATGACCACTAATCATTAAATTCTAAATTAAGCTAATGCTAGTTGCTAAATGTAGACGAGGCCTTGGGGCTGTCTGAACCAAATGGAAGCTAACACTAAACTTACATGTAACTCCGGACTTCCCAAACCCTGTGGTGTGTGGCTCAGTGGGTTAGGACACTGTGCCTGAGATCGAAGATTGTAGGTTCAAATCCTGTGGTCAGCAGACTGATTTTGCTGTTAGGCCCTTGAGTGAGGCTCTTATCCCCTAAATGTTTCAGGGATTGGCTCACTTTTGTTCTAGGTGACTTATATGTCGTTTTGGGGAAAAAGCTTCTAAATAAATAAATAAATAAAATGTAATGCAATGATTCAGGCTAATGCTAGATGCTGACCTTGAGCTGTCCCATGAGTTTCAACTACGAGGAAAGCAAGCTCTCCAAACCAAGCTAATGCTAGTCAGGAAGTGCACTCAGGGCCTGGGGAATGTCCTAATCACACGCAAGCTAAACCTCAGCCTGAATGCAAATGAGAGCCTGAGACTGTCTAACCCAAAGGCAAACTAAAGCTAATGACTGGCTGCACGTAACCGAAACTAGATGCAAGTTATAGCAGGGAGAGGTGGACACTAGAGAAGCCACTGTAGGAGATCAAGTAGTAATGCAGTGTTTGCATTTGTTCACCATATCAAAATAAGAAGAGCAGGTAGAGTAGAGTTAACCTGTAGACATTCTTATATTGGAATGGAAAGTAGCTCTGATCTCGAACCTCATTGAGAGAGCAGAACAATTTGGCCCATATGAGGCACCCAGTAAGATCCAGGACAGTGGCCTGTTGGAAAGATGATCCTTTAGAGTTTGCAAAAGTCATCATTGATGAGATGTGTACTATTTGCCGAAAACTTGTGTACAGTTCAGTCATCCTTCACGTTTGAATTTAGTTGTCATTCAATTTAGCATGCTACAGTTTGGCCAAAAAGCGTCTTGCCTCTAATTTGTTTTTTTTCATCATTTATTTGTTCATTGATGAAATTAAGTGTTTTAATGGATTTCTAAAGTTCTTGCACCATATACAGTTACAGACCTGTTTTTACATCAAGAATGAATTCATTTGTGAGTGATATCACTTACACATAATATGTGTTTGCACACCTCTCGTCCCTGGGGGGTGCACTTAGAAATAGTGTCGCCATTGTTGACAAGGGCGGGTCCGGGACATGGCAGGGGAGGAATGCAAGAGAGCCGGCTCATGCCATGATGGGGGAGACTTCCTCCCCTGGGACCCTATCCTTCTCGGCCCTCCTGCCTCTGCATTCCTCAGTATGGAATGTGGCACCTTCCATGCACACTCACCATATGTGAGAACCCAGTCTCAGCTGCTCTGCTTTATGTACGTGTCTGTCTGCTTTGGCCAGTAGCAGAGCGATTACTTACTCCAGTCAGTAAGGCCTTGTAGCTCCCCATACAGCTCTTATTTATTTCTCCAGCTTTCCTCCTTCGGTTCTCAGGACAGTCTCTATGCCACTTTGGCTGGTTTATGTCAGTTTGCTTGACGTGCTCGTCTTCTGTACTTAGCTTTGTAGCCCAGCACCCTAGACATTCAGAGCCAGCCATGCTCACTGTGCTCAGCTTCCCTCTGCACCCACCCCAACTCTCCCCCCCCCCCCCATGCAGGGGAAGAGGAGCGTAGAAAGGAAGAGCTTCTGGAGTTAGCAAGGTCCAAGAAGGAGCGTACAGAGTCACAGCTGCGCTGCCTGCGCCAGGTAACCCCACCTCCATCTTTGTCGGTCAATAATGTAAACATCCATCCATCTTCCAATCGCTTATGCAGAATTGGTTCAGGGGTCAAACAAATGAATGAATTTCTTCAAATAAATTAATCAATATTGTTACTTACAACTAGTTTTGACCCAATGGGACTTTTGCTCTATCTACTCCATTAATATACACATTTGTACCCTATTCGATTTGCTTGTTTTACTGAAACCTTCATATTTGATGCTGACTACAGAGTATGAGAACAGACATGGCAGCTGATAGTTTTATAAATATATATATACACACACACACACACACACACAGTGATACCTTGGTTTGCGAGCATAATTTGTTCCGGAAACATGCTCGTAATCCAAAGCACTAGTATATCAAAGTGAATTTTCCCGTAAGAAATAATGGAAACTCAGATGATTCGTTTCACAACCCAAAAATATTCATATAAAAATGGTTAATACAAAATCTAAAGTAAAAATACATAAAACAAATTAACCTACACTGATACGCCCTTATTCGGGTGGTGCATTTCTACTAAATTTTGACTATACAAGTCAGGCACGCCGACTGAGACCGAGCATGGGAAACAATTGCCCACAATCCCACAGTGAGAGAGAGAGAAGAACCATTGGCTCAGTTGTGACCATGTGACACTAGGCAGACAAAGCGTATACGTAATACTCGTATTGCAAGACCTCGCTCGTTTTTCAAATTTCTTAAAATTTTTGCTCGTCTTGCAAAACACTGTGTGTGTGTGTGTGTGTATACACTCAACTAAAGGATTATTAGGAACACCTGTTCAATTTCTCATTAATGCAATTATCTAATCAACCAATCACATGGCAGTTGCTTCAATGCATTTAGGGGTGTGGTCCTGGTCAAGACAATCTCCTGAACTCCAAACTGAATGTCAGAATGGGAAAGAAAGGTGATTTAAGCAATTTTGAGCGTGGCATGGTTGTTGGTGCCAGATGGGCCGGTCTGAGTATTTCACAATCTGCTCAGTTACTGGGATTTTCACGCACAACCATTTCTAGGGTTTACAAAGAATGGTGTGCAAAGGGAAAAACATCCAGTATGCGGCAGTCCTGTGGGCGAAAATGCCTTGTTGATGCTAGAGGTCAGAGGAGAATGGGCCGACTGATTCAAGCTGATAGAAGAGCAACTTTGACTGAAATAACCACTCGTTACAACTGAGGTATGCAGCAAAGCATTTGTGAAGCCACAACACGCACAACCTTGAGGCGGATGGGCTACAACAGCAGAAGACCCCACCGGGTACCACTCATCTCCACTACAAATAGGAAAAAGAGGCTACAATTTGCACGAGCTCACCAAAATTGGACAGTTGAAGACTGGAAAAATGTTGCCTGGTCTGATGAGTCTCGATTTCTGTTGAGACATTCAAATGGTAGAGTCAGAATTTGGCGTAAACAGAATGAGAACATGGATCCATCATGCCTTGTTACCACTCTGCAGGCTGGTGGTGGTGGTGTAATGGTGTGGGGGATGTTTTCTTGGCACACTTTAGGCCCCTTAGTGCCAATTGGGCATCGTTTAAATGCCACGGCCTACCTGAGCATTGTTTCTGACCATGTCCATCCCTTTATGACCACCATGTACCCATCCTCTGATGGCTACTTCCAGCAGGATAATGCACCATGTCACAAAGCTCGAATCATTTCAAATTCTTGAACATGACAATGAGCTCACTGTACTAAAATGGCCCCCACAGTCACCAGATCTCAACCCAATAGAGCATCTTTGGGATGTGGTGGAACGGGAGCTTCGTGCCCTGGATGTGCATCCCACAAATCTCCATCAACTGCAAGATGCTATCCTATCAATATGGGCCAACATTTCTAAAGAATGCTTTCTGCACCTTGTTGAATCAATGGCACATAGAATTAAGGCAGTTCTGAAGGCGAAAGGGGGTCAAACACCGTATTAGTATGGTGTTCCTAATAATCCTTTAGGTGAGTGTATATATTACCAATCAAAAGTCTGGACATGCCAAGCTGCTGCCAACGAGAGTGATAGCATAAGCATAAGGATTTTGACATGGGCCAGATTGTGATGGCTAGACAACTGGTTCAGAGCATCTCCAACATGGCAGGTCTTGTGGGGTGTTCTTGCTATGCCGTGGTCAGTACCTAACAAAAGTGGTCCAAGTAAGGCCAACTAGTGAACTCGTGACAGGGTCATGGAAGCCCAAGTGGGGTGGCAAAGGCGATCAGGTCTGGTCCAGTCCCACAGAAGAGCTACTGTAGCACAGATTGTTGAAAAAGTTAACTCTGGCTATGATAGTAAGGTGTCAGAACATGCAGTGCATCACAACTTGCTGCATATAGGGCTGCATAGCCGCAGACCAGTCGGAGTGCCCTTGCTGACCACTGGCCACTATCAAGGGGCCTACATTGGGCATGTGAGTGTCAGACCTGGACCATGGAGCAATGGAAGAAGGTGGCCAGGTCTGATGAGTCACATTATCTGTTACATCATGTGGACTGGGAGCGTGTGTGTCGTTTACCTGGGGAAGAGATGGCACCAGTATGCACTATGGGAAGAAGGCAAGCTGGCTGAGGCAGTGTGATGCTCTGGGCAATGTTCTGTGGTGAAACCTTGGGTCTTGGCATTTATGTGGATGCTCCTTACACATACCACCTATCTAACCGCTGTTACAGACCAAGTACACCCCTTCATAACAACTGTATTCACTATTGGCAGTGGTCTCTGTACACCCTGCCACACTGCCAAAATTGTTCAGGAATGGTTTGAGGAACATTAAAAAAAGATGTCCTCCAAGTTCCCCAGATCTCAGTCTGATCGAGAATCTGTGGAAACAAGTCAGGTCCATGGAGGCCCCACCTTGTAGCTTACAGGACTTAAAGGATCCTATGGTATCTGGACCTATGGTTCCTCTAGAGGTCTTGTGGAGTCCATGCCTCCACGGGTCAGAGCTGTTTTGGTGGCATGAGGGGGACCTACACCATATTACGCTGCTGGTTTTAATGTCATAGCTGATCGGGTATATACAGGATATCATCTTTTTTTCAGAGCGCTTGTGGCCTCTGCTAAAACACAAAGCTTCTCAGATGTTAAAAAAAAATAATGTCAAATGCATATTGAAAATTATAATTTGGTCCTCATGTTGGGTAAAAATGCATGAAGTTTCAGTATGTAGTACGATAGCAGCACATCTCCAAGGTTGAAGGTTTGATTCCTCCTCTCTGTAAGCAGTTTGCATGTTCACCTCATGTTTGAGTTGGGTTTCTAGCTGGGAGCTCCAATTTCCTCACGCAGTGGTGGGGTCACTCTGCCATGCATAAACACGCGGTTAGGTAAACTGGTGCCTCTAAACTCTGTTAATGCGCATTCTCTGATGGTCTACTGTAACCACATACTGGGTAAGTGATTATGAGAATAATAATGATACTGTATGTATTACATGCTTGCTTATTGGATTAGCAATATGGATATGGGGTATATCTGAAAAATAGTGAAATATTAATGAGAAGTAATAACGGAAATGTCCAGATTAAATAAAAAATAAGGTGATACACTTTTCCTCAGTATGTATTATGGTTTAGTCAGTTATAAAGTGTAATAACAGAGTGAAAAGACAATTCATTGAAAGGTGAACTTTGTGTTTTATTTTTTAATCTGCATTTGTAGTAAATTAGATGTTCCAGAATACTGTAGGATGTTCTACACCTAATTTTGATACAAGCTCGGGACAATTTTAGCTCATGAACTCTATACCCCTAAACCAAACCAGACTGCCTCATACCAGATCTGTGTTGTGATCTTCATATGTTTTCATTTTCTCCAATGGTATGCTGCGATTACCTTCAATAGGGCTTTAGGCGGAGCCCATTCCTGTGGGGCAGCAAATCCAGTCTATCAGGATATCTAGGCGCTAGCATATTTTGATGTTTGGCTGCATTCCAATGGACAAATCCAGTCAGGTGATTGCATGCTGACTAAAGGCTTTGCCTTTTGGTTTATGAAGGTAACAGCTAAATTGTTAACGAGGTGACATTCTACTTCTCCTGGCAGCCTATATTTAGGTCAAGACCTGTCTGCTTTTAATGATAGCTTGCATGGAGAAGTCATTATGAGAACAGAATTAAATTATCCTGTGAGTATTTAGCTTAGAGTGGGAACTGCAGATGTAAACATGAGTTTTGGACATTTGGATATTTAGAATGTAAATAACATGTTTATGATGACGTCATAAAAGTCATGTAGCTTGGAGGGAAAATGATGAATATATTGGGTGGAGTGAGACTCAGGACTGTGGAGTCGGTAGATAAATGCTCCGACTCCGACTCCTCAGTTTCTAAATCTTCCGACTCCGACTCCCCGACTCCGACTCCTCTGTATGTATATACTATGCTAATGTATTTTCTACATCCATTGAAGGAAAGGAAGGCAACGTACATGTCATTTCACCACAGAACTACTGGCTAGGAAGCCAACACTCTACTATAATGCCAGATTAAAGACAAACACAATGAAAACAAGGATTTTGCCACCGACCGATGTGCGTGTACAATCGCGGCAATTGATTGGTGGCCGCGGATTGCGGGTGTCCACATGGACGGGCAGATCCAGCTTGCCGAAAATCTCGACCACCGCCCCCATCCAAAGTAATGTGATGCCTCTGTCTGCTGCAGTGGCTGTCTCCTCTGTCAGCCAGCCGGAAGTTTAGTGCATTGTGTCACTCACCGGCCAGCTGATCAGCAGAACAAGCCTCTGCTGGAGACAGGTAGGGAGATCTGTGTTCTCGGCTCCTTCGGCCCCCTTCACTAGCGCATAGCGAAGGGGAGCCGACGGAGCTGAGAACACACCAGATGATTTTTCAGGCGTTTAACGCGTGATGACTCGTTGAACGGCCGAAAAATCGGCAGTGCATCTGTAAATGTATGGGGGGCTTTAGGCTAGGTTCACAGTTCCCTGTAACAGTGGAACACGACACAATGGAAAGCTGTGCCGCACCTTACCTGTGCATTACATCCCATATAGTGACGCATACAGTCAATGAAAAGCATGCTTCATGGTTACTTGACATGTTCGTTTTGTGGTAACATTATGCACTGCATGCATTGGGCTTTATTCTTACAGCAGAGAAGTAGTTCATTATGACTGTTTGTGAATTGGGACATTTCAACTTACTTTTTTAATTCCCATTTAAATTTAGTAGGAGTCGGAGTCGGTTAACTTTTTGCCGACTCCGACTCCAGGTACCCAAAATTGTCTCAGACTCCGACTCCTCGACTCCGACTCCACAGCCCTGGTGAGACTTGACATGCCCATCTGTCTGTGTGCAGATTTGTGAAAATCAACAGAATGACTTACAGCTTCTTCAGCTGAATCTGGACTCAGCTCAGGAGGCTTTGCGACGCCAGGAGGATGTGGGCCCGCTGGAGAGGTGATATGCCGCACCCTTGTACTGCTTGAAGAATAATGTCACACCCCAGGTTGCTCATTGAACGGGCCACCGTGCCATGTCTCTGCTTTGGGAGGACCCTTCCCGAGGGATTAATAAAGTACTATATCTATCTATCTATATCTATCAATACAAACAGCCCTGTTTTACAGGCCATCCATGGACATCTCTGATGGGATTAGGCATGAGAAATGCTTGACTCCAGGCTTGGCAGTAGCTGACTGCAGTGCAGCAAACATGGAATTGATATGGTGGGCTCAGTAGATCGCATCTTATATTCCCTGGCAGAGCAGCCATAATCCCCCAATCACTTGGGAGATTCAGGGCTTTAAATACAGGAATTAACAGAGCAGGGTGATGAGACATTAGTGTGAGTAGTGTTAACAAGCCGGCCAACTTCATAGTGACCCAAAAGAAAATTTAAATATTAAATATTTCTCGAAGGGTATGTTCTGCCTTCTGACAATGCAGGAATGCTTGTGGTATGAACCAGTGACCTTTAGCATCTGCCCATTCCTATTTTTGATGTAGACACTCTAGTACTGTTGGTATTGTGTATTCTCATTGACTGTGTCACAACTGTCATGCAGAGATAGCTGAGAAATGAAAATGTTTTGTTCTTTAGAAAATTGCCTTATCAAGTAGAGAATTGCGTACATCATATGACACTAAAGCTACAAAATTATCTGTACTGAGACCAGTACAAACCCTTGAAAAACATTCCAAACGTTATGTACATTCTTTCATGGGGGGGGGGGGCGGGGCTTCTAATGGATGGTTCTGAATTTAACATTTGTCAAAGTATGGCATGCAGAAATCACACTGCTGTAATGGCCATATTTTTGAGAGTTTTTAAGGATGTGAAGGAACTTTTTTTCTGCCACATGGCAAAGATACTAATGTCTCTGCAAAACTTGGAGGGTATAAGAGAGACTCTTTAGAAGTTGCTTCCACTCAGACTGATAGTGGCAAGAGACTTGGGAAGGCTGAAGGGCATCTTGTCAGCCGAGGCAGCTTTCCATGTCTCAGCTGTGCCTCTGTTTGGCAAAGAGAGACCCTTCTGCAGAGGTAGGGAAGAATGGGCCACATATAACCTTGCAGAGCACAGACTTTTCTAAACCTGTTTCCTGCCAGGGGTCTGAAAGGTCAGAAGGACGGGCCTTTTCTGCTGGTTATTCGCTCGACGTTGAATGTCCACAGGTGACACCCCCCCAACCCCCCCCAATTTGTGCTGATTAAGAAAGCCTGTAGACCCCCATCTTCCTGAAATGCCGAGGAGAGAAAGGACAGAAAGCCTGACTGTCTGTGCCATGGACAGGAGGGCAGACTCTGGCCACTGAGGCTCTTAGGGAAATCTAAGCTCTGACTTAATGGAGGTGTACAGCAACTATAATACTATTAACTGCCATTTCTTGGGCTTTAAAATGTATGAATAGATATTACAAAATTATATACATGTCTTTAATATAGAATATATAGTATTCTGTTAATTAACTTAAGTTAATTTAATTTACTTAATTTAACTTAAGTTAATTAACTTAACAAGGTTTTGATTAGCCAAAGTAGGGTAGTGGTCTAGTCAAAAAATACATTGGTGTGTTGTAATGTTGCTGCAAATATTGGACATTAGGAGAGGTATTGAAATGGCTTAGCTAACACACTTTGATGGACATCATAGTTTTACGCCAACTGGAAGATCATTGCTGCCTAAGGCTTTTGCTCAGTACTATATGTAGAAACATTTCCAATGTAGTGTCCCAAAACGGTGAAAGGCATTTGTATCTACATATCCATGTGTATCCATGTGTTTAAACATCATTTTCTTTGACTGCCTAAGGCTTTTGCTCAGTACTATATGTAGAAACATTTCCAATGTAGTGTCCCAAAACGGTGAAAGGCATTTGTATCTAGATATCCATGTGTATACACAAACACTGAAGAGCAACGTCTCAACGAATCACGACAAATAAGCACAGTCACCTGACTCTCCCTCCTGAGACGGCCCAGCGCCCACCAGCCCCCATGCTCCAATACACAGAAGTATTATTTTAATGTGCAAGAGTCATACATCTTCCCTGGATCCTGTTTCCCCATAAGCAGCAGTCTTTCTGCATTCCTATAAAGAATACACTGGTTAAAAAGTGAGTTTTCTCAGAGTGTTTACTTTTCAAAACATTGCTGACTGCATTCCATTAGTGTAGCTCATGCATATCTCACATATTGGCGCCTGGTAATGTTTGCGAATGACCCTGCTGATTGGGTGGTTCTAAATAGTCTGAATGAGGCTGTATTTATGAACCTGCACTCTTTCATACCAGTCAGGCTGACTTAAGCTTTCTGGACCTGAAATGTTTGGACCTGTCCAAGATTGTGCCTCTGAAAACAGAGGAGCAAGGGACCATGGGAAGGCTCTGTCACGTCAATGGCCCCGCCCAACCAGGGAGAGACTCTAGGGCCGACTTTGACACCCACCAAAGAACCAAACCCAGTCCTCCTGATGACGAAAGGAAGCCTTGTTATGTAATTACAATTTCCATTGTCTACAAATGTCTGAAATGCCAAGCGAAAGAATTGTCCAATATTACCTTTAGCATTCAATTAATTAATAGCAACCACATGGTAAACAATGCTTTTTTGAAACTTAGGGTGTGGATTAATTGCATTGTATAAATATATTAGGTAAATATTTGTTATCTGGGTGCTCCAGCTCAGTAGGTACTGAGCTGATTTTGATGATGTGCTCCAGTGCTAATACCTGAAACTGCATTCAGTGTTATCCATTTATGCTGCTTGGTGGAAACGCTTGGTGGGTCAGGAGGCTTTTGAGGTTTCCTGACCTTTGATTTTGTTGGCAGAAAGAGCACAGTTCCCCCACCGGCCGCCTTCAGCAGCTGCTGGCTCAGTCCCAGGAGATGGTGGCCAGTCTGGAACACAAAACGTGGTGCCAGGCTTGCCTGAGTGAAGGCCCTGCATGTGGCCACAGACACAGTCACTGTCAAAGCGGCAGTGGGGTTCCCAGGCAGGTATGTCCCTCTTCCAGCTTAGGCTCAGTCGGGGTCTCCATGCTTTGCTATTAGGCATTACAAGGGATTAACCAGGAGTCCATTAAACACGGACAGAGTCACTGGCCCATTCCGGTCAACTGCACCAAACAGTAAACGCCTGTTTCTCAAGGTCAAGATGTTATATATTGCCTGGTGAATTTCAGTGGTGTTTATGAACGTCTATTCTGGCATCATCACACTGTATGTTTCCAGATGCTTCACATTCATTTTGATATTACATACTTAATATATTTCATTAGAGTTTCTCCCTCTCCATTATACCTGCTTCGTTTTGTATATCTGAGCTGTGCTGTCACACTGAGTATTGTCATGTCAATATCCCCGATCAAACAGGTGTCTTAATCTTTGTAAGCATCTTATTGTGGCTCATCCTTAAAATCCTTACATCAGAGCATTGTCATATCGATTTTCATTTCTCTTAAAGGTATAGATGAGTATTTTGAACGTTATACTTTTTCATGGCAGTCCAAAAATGTCTCACCATATCCAGTACTTAGACTCCATTGTATTTTGATGTTCTAGATCAGAGATCAGAGAACATCATAAAAGCATTTTCTCATACTATAAAGTCTTTGTTTTCATAAGGGATTAACTCAATACCAGTTTTACTTTTGATGTGTTGTTGCTTATCAGCATTTTTAATGTCTGCGGAGATATGAGATGTCAGACCAAAGACTGTGCCTCCTTCAGTTCACAGTGGAGTGACTTAGTGTTATTTGCAGGACAGCGGCCCCCAGGCAAGAAGCAGCCTTCCTGCCCCCCCACATCAGGCAGGTGGCTGTCACCTGGCAGCAGCAAAGGTGCCAGGATTGTGAGGGGTGTGTCCGCACCCCCTCACCTGTGAAGTGTGCAGGCAGTGCTGATTCTGCGGGCAACTGTGAATGAAGACTGGGAGCCACACCACCCCCCAACACAAAGCAGTAATCATCATACCTGCTCACTGGGATAGTAGCAATACAAACACTGAATATAACATGTTTACGCCATATTTAACGCTAATCAGCTACCATTAATATAACAGTATTACATTGAAATAATACCGTGAAGCAGAAGAGACCAGGGTAATGTATTAATTGTACAAATGCCCCGCACCTCGATGACTGTGGAGACAAACCCACCCCAAGCTCTTTGTGGGAGTTTGCTTGTTCACCCCATGTGCAAATGGGTTTTCTCCACATATTCAGTTTCCTCACTCTAGAAATTCTGTGGCTTGCCTCATCCCCTGTGTTTCCTGGGATAAGCTCCAAGCTCACTGCGATCTTGCACTGGATATGCAGTGAATTTTACTGCCCACAAAATGTGTTGTATGGCTGACATGAATAACGCATGATTGTTCAGGACATTTTTAATTCAATAAGTTAAATGAAGTGTATAGAATTTCAGCTGACTTTCCTGCACTGAGCTACACCAGCAGTTCCTTTAGGAAAGGATAGCAGGGCTTTGTTAGGTCTCATTTCAGCTGCACCACAAATCTGCTGGGACACTGACGTGTAAAATTTAAAACGAAATGGATTCTTTTTTTGGGGGGGAGAAGGGTGCTCTTCGTATCTCTATGTAAACCGGATTTTTGAACATATTATATATCAGTTTTTAAATAAATGTGTCACGTTATAATATGACACATTTTTCGCTGTACGTAACCTTTGTGTATAGCCGTTATAATTTTTTTAAATATAATTTTATGGCAACAAAAATGGCATTATTCTATAGTAGCTCCATATGGTAATTGTCTGATTTTATATTATTACCATGCGTGTTTACTGACGAACGCTAATGCCTCTAGATCAGATTCACATAGACATGAGCATTGGAAAAAAATGTTTCTTTATAAGTGTGTTTATATGATGGTTATCGCTACATATATTTGCATTTCAACAAACCCGTACACATTTTTCCAAATAAAATATGTATATGAATTGTTTTCTTGACTTGTCTTTGAGTCCTTTAACAATAACGTGAATTTCAAAGCGTTTGTATGTGCATAACTGGTAATCCATAACCTCTATTGTTTGAAAAAGGCGATGTATAGCTTAATTAAGTCAGAGTTAATGTACATCGAATTGCGGATCCTGGCGTTCACACATGGGACGGTACGATCAGGACTCGGAGCAGCAGCCGAATGAAAACGAGTTTTTTTGTGGGGGGGGAAACAGTCACTTTATTCCTCCCCCACGCTCATCGCTACGTGTATTCAGTCCCCGGAATAGCCCTGACGAAGGAGGAGGCAAAGGCGCTCGCTGTGTTCAGCCGCCTTCCTTCCCCCGTCATGCTGCGTCCACTGCACTCAGTGTAGTTCAGCCAATGCATCGTCTTCGGAGCGGATCCATGTCCTCTGCACGTCGCCGGGAGCCATCCTCGACCGCTTAAGCTCCGCGCACGTCCTATAAGGGGGCACCTAAAGAATTAATAATACATATACACGGTATATTTAAGGCGCGATCGTCGGACGGAACCAGCATTTGGCCAGTTCCCACGCCGGAGGATGAATTCAATACGACAGGTGCCTACCAGGGTGAAAAGCAGGAGGACCGAGACCACCCTGGGGGCGGAGAGGGAGCATTTTGACAAGCAGCAGGTACGCGAATATGTGGCGTATTTTTCAAAAACGCCGATTTTTAAACATTTGTCGAAATTTCGTGCTGTGACCCTGGCCCCGGATCCTTCGCCGGAAAGCAGGTTTATCCGCAGATGAGCGTCTTTTACGGGAGCGGGGTAGCGTGTTAGGGCGCTGCAAACGCCACTTTCATCGCTTTCGGGGGCTATAAAAAAAATCATGTATAATATATTATACCAGATGCACTGGGACGGGGGGTCCAACTACTGGGAAGAAAGTGGGGGACCTTTGTGGTTCACCTTCCCGGCCAATGGCGTCCAAACGCGCTCTATTTTTTTGTTTTAATTAATTAATTATTTGTTTCGCATATAGAGCCGTGTCGCCGGTCGGTGAGAAACTACACCGCGGTAAGTTAGGAAAACGTATTGCATCGTCAGGGTCATCTTCAGGACAAACTGAAGTCCCATGGCCGCACCGATCTGATAAGCCGTTCAGTCTGAATTCGGACTCGTTATTTTATATTCAGAAACGATTACGAAGGAAGAACCTGCATATTTCTTCGTATCGAGATATACCAGCGATCTGTGGTTTGTTTAATGGTTTGGTAGACCTATGTGTGTTGTCGTACTCGTAGTCCCTGATCTTACGTGGATTTAAGTTGGTTATTAAATAAGGTATTATACACCCATGAATCGCTATTTTACAGACACAGCATTTAAAATGGAGATATCTGGGAGAATTATTACAAGATGAGTGTTTTATGCGTACTTAAGAAAGGCATTAATTTCAACTAACATAAAGGTCAGCAGATAATGCCAGGACGGGAGGACAAGAGACAACCGATCAAATGTGTGCAAAAAAGCAAAATAACGTGGTACTTTCTTGTACTGCTGTAAACGGGATCCGGCCAGGCGGAGTGCTGCACCGTGCCGGTCGGGGTTCGCCTGCACCTCAAGTCTGCAGGGATTGCGGTGAATCCACCGGCGTGCGGAAGAGCCCCGACTCTTTATCTTAAATTCTGACAGTAAACCATGTGTCAAAGTCCGTGGAGGGAAAACTCAGCAAAGCCATGTAGTTTGGTTAAATGCGGCGCATGGGGAAATGCATTACACTGGCTCCGAGAAGTAACTTTCTGTCAGTGTTTGCGCAAGCAGAACACATGTGCTACCCCACAAGGGTGTTCCCAGAGTACTGCAAGGACAAATCATTACATATTTTATACAAACAGGTTGTAAAATGATTAGAAACACAGGTGTCACATTAAAGCCAAGGGGCAGGGGAACGGTTGCAAATCTGAATAGTGGAGCAATATATGAGTCTTAAGTAAAAATATTTGGTCTGTGAGCAGGTGGGGAAAGTGTTTCGATCACAACTGAAATCAGAATTTCTCACCTGGTGGGTCACATGACTTATACTGTTCGAGAGTATATTGCGACCAATTGCTTTGAATTGAATAACGTTTGGATTTTCTGTGACAGCAGTGATGGGTTTTTGATGTACTTGAATGTGTGTATATGACAAGAACATTAAGCACATATTAATTCTGAATGTAATGCTGATAATTGTATCGAGAAGCAGCACTGGTTCTGTTCAAAAGTTTGTCTGTTTTCTCTTTCTACGGGTTACTAAAATGTGTGTGCATGGGGAATTTTTAACCTGGACTTGAACTGTATTATGAACGCACAATCTGAAGTTTTGAACCGACCAAAGCTGATATCGAATATGCGTTTGAAGGCGTACATACTTGGTCAGCAAATGGAGCCTGTCATTGTAAATTTGCATACTGCAGGGGTGCTTGGCTGTGTGTCTTGCATTGTATGGCATAAATATGGACATGGGTTTGTTTATCCTAAATGGTGGAAATGTGGGGGGGGGATGTTCTGCTAAATTGGACCTCTCCTACTGTCCATCTCTGATCGCTTGCACTCTCTCTGTTCTCTCTGCCTGACGTGTTGGTTCTTACCCTGCTTGAATGCTGCTTTCTAATCCTATTCAGGTGGCATTGTGAAAACCATAAAGATGAACTGAAAGGATACAGAAAATAAAACAGGAAAATCTTGTGGCATGGTGGTTAATGTCACCGTTGTGCAACTGGAAGGCTTTGTCTGTTGACGTCCTTTGGATCCACTGTTGTGTACTGCCGAGTGAAGTGGTTCGTCTGTTGCTTCAGTGACATGTCAGTTTGGGTAAAAGTATCAGCTAAATGACATTATTATAAGGTGGCTGATGTTGATCAAGTTTCTGTGTAAGAACTTAGTGGCTTGTTCAAGCTTTACTGAAAGACTTCAAAGCATCACAGACTGCTTAGTGCCATTTATGACACACTGCTGTGGTACTGGGGGGTTGGGGGCGGTTTAGCCTTTCATAAATTAGAGACCCCCAAATGAAAATGGAGTGTGTCTGTGTATGTTTTTTTTTCCCCTCTGTCAGTATCACCTCCCTCTTTAAACACCATTGTGTTAAGCAGTATATATGCAAACGTTGCTTGAAGAAAGTAGGAGAAGTTGTATTGATCCACTCTAATTTGGTGATCAGTGATCATTGTCGACACACACTTTTGTTGTAACTGTGGGTGAGTTTAAGGCTCCAAAGTGTCTTCAAGCATTCTAGGATCAGTTTGCTAACAACATAATACTCTGTCATCATGGAGTTGCATGGAGTTTACCTGCAGAAGGCTTTTCCAGTCTGACAGGTTCTTGTTTGTTTCCTTCTACATGCATGTGGCTAAGCTTTTGATCCGAAACCCACTCTTAATGACTTTTTCAGTAGCTAAATGGCAAGGGATGCACATGGGTAAATTACTTTATAGGCCATTATCTATTGTGGGGGTCTCCACTTTTAAGCAGGACGCTGGATTGCTATAAATAAAGTAATAAATAATGCTGTGTATAGGGCTGCACGAAATCGCCTTACAATTATACAGCACGTGCACAGTAATCACCTGGGCTTTAGATACCGGGCAAAACATGTGTCCAGGTGCTGGCATTTCAGTACTATACGGACGGTTACTTACGCCCACAATTTGGTAAGCAGGTTAGTAGTGCACCTAAAATATGATGGGAGTATTATGATGCCCAAAAGTTAGTAATCTGTATAAATTCAGCATATCTTTATGGTTAATAAATGTATCTAACATTTATTACAAGTGTAATAAATGTACACCCCGACGCCTTTTAAACTTGTTTACCCACAATATGTCCTCCTTTTAAAATATGTTATGGCTGCTGGACTGTCCCTTTTTTCACCGCCACTTCAGTGCTTATTATTTCCCTGACTTACCAAAACGGTAGCATACGGCGTACTCCGCTATCCAAATTTAATAAACCAAGGATTTGCCAAATTTTTAGGGATTGCTAACTTTTGGTGTCATACATCTCTTTAATATTTTGGCCGTACTACTAATCTTCTTACCAAATTGTGGATGTAAGCAACTGTGCGTATAGTACCGAAAAACCAGCCTTTTATCGAAAGCCCTGGAGATTAATGTGCATGCGCTATATACTAGCGAGTTCTTCAGGATATGATATCGAACAGCCTTAGCTGCATGTACTGTTTTGACCCCATATTCTCAGCTTGTTTTTTTGATTTTGCTTACAAGGTCAGACTGGGAGGTAATGTCTCCCACTTTCCCTGCTGTGTACACACGCACACACTCTCTCCTTGTTTGCTCTGCCTTTGCACGTCCTGAGCCATTCCAGCAACACAGACCAGTGAGAACTACAACAGAGGAAGACAGTCATTAAGCTGTTCATGTCTGTGTACCTCTCCAGTCGTAGACATAGATAAATATGTCAGATAAATGTCAAGTGAAAAAAATGTAGTGCTTTAGTATTGCTGGGTGTCTGTAGCAATGAATAGGGAAATTTACAGTATTTCGCATAGGCTAGTTATACAGGATATTACAGTTATCTGGTTATTCTTGCAGTGTGGCAACTTGCCTCATGATCCAGGCGTAGAAAAGGGTTCTCCCTGGTTGAGATGAGGAAGTGCTTGTGGTTAGATTGATGTTTAGGCTTCATGCTAAGATTGCTAAGATAAGTCAGAGGACATACTTCTGGAGGGAGAAGGAACATGTGGCAATATTTAAGTAACTTCTGTCCAAAAGCTCTTTCTGTTTATGGTGAAGATTTTATCTTCCGAATTTGCCTCATCTGAAATGTGGAGGGGGTTCTTCTTTGCACCATGTTGAGCGTCTTTGTCTTTGGTCTTGGCGCAGTTGGGCCAAGTGCTGCCAAGCAACATGGGTGCCATGGCACCACTGGGGTCTCCATGGAGACATCTACAGGAAAAGGAAGCATTGGGGCCAGGAGGGGGGCGCTAGGGTATTATTACAGGGATGTCGTCATCCCGATGGGAAATGCCGATGCGAAGCACACGAATGAAGTCTTGCAGTTTGAGTAAATGGAGCGTGAATCGTGATGATGTGGCAAAAGTGATGGATGATGCAGCACTTCCTATGTGGGCTGTCCCTAAAACATGCCGCAGATACCCCAAAATGTCTGCCTCTGTCTCCTGACCCTTGGACGCAGGGGGGACTGACTCAGACTGATGTCCACTTTGAGCCCCTATACTGCCTCCCAAAGGTCCCAAAGACTGCAGTGTATTTCAGAAGCACTCCATTGTGACACAAGCAAAAGGCATGACTGTGGACAGATTTTATTTCCATTGTCTAATTAGTTGCACCCTTAAGTGATAAATTCAGGGAAGTTATTTTCCTTATTTGCCCTGTTTTCTGTATGGGTTTTAGCTGTTGCAGCTAGGAGTCTTGCTCAGTGCTCTGTCATAGGTGCATCATTAACCAATCAAGTGCCTCATTATCAGGTGAGTTTTTTTTCCCCCCATTTTTTATTTGAGTTTTGAGTCTGTAGGAGACACTCCATGTGTAATTACATAAGAAGCTCAGTTGAGTTTAATCCCCCTAAATCCTGCAGCATCCCTTACTGGAAGGGATTGGACATGGATTTTATTTGCTATGCTGTTTAATAAACAATATGTCTTGCAAAGTGAAAGGAGCATGCAGT